ATTGTGAACAGGATCTGTACATAAAAATATGTCTGCAAATACCTAAGAGCAATTAAGACTTCAAGTTATACATGTACAGGTCATGTAACTTACAATTTAATTAATATGTATTTACTTTAAAAAAGTGACAAAATTTTCACAGCAGCTATGAATTAGCATGCTACAACTAAGATGTGTATTATTTACAAACCTGTATAAGTTGTGGTTTGAGGGTAATGGAATGTTTTGATTCAGCAAAAAGGTCTTTGCTCTTTAAAGCATGAAGCAGCAATTCCCACAAACCATTTAACACATCATTATTGCCTTCTCTGTGAAGCAAATTCATAGACTTTAGGGTTGGGTAAGACAGTCAACTTCCATGGATGTACTTTAAGTTCTCCCATATGCAACATGTAAGGCTTACAACACTACATTGTATGCAACACAATTTGCATATTACAGTAAATTATTGTCAAATTCAAACCTGCAATTTGATCAGGATAATGGTTTACATGTTCATTGTATATATAGTCACAAAGAGGACAACAGGGCTAGTCAGTAGACTGTATGGTGCCCATTAAATCATGCAGTCACTTATTAGTTAGTACACATACATGTAATATACATTGGATAGCAAGCCTCAACAGGTTTGAGTTTGAGTGGCTGCAGATAATTTTGTAAGTCATGTTCTTTGAAAATGTGCTTTACTGTCACATTATCTTAAAGAGTAATGTCTGTTCAAGGTAATAGATTTATCAAATATCAAAGTGCAAGTTATTATTAATAAAATAATAACCTTATTTGTTCAATGAGTGATTACAATCAGAAAAAAATTATCAAAGCACTAGCAAACTGTTGTGCAGCCTCGGTAAATATACATTGAAGGTGGGTAGGGATGGAGGGGATAAAAGACTAAAGTTGATGTTGTCAGCTCTTACTGTACTCCTTTTTTGTATCCGTTAAGAATTTCTTGCACAGTCCAGTCAAGAAGAACTTTCTGTTTGTTTGGAATCACACAGTCAACAGAATCCCAAGCATTCTTTGCTAGTAACAACTTCTCATCCCAAACAACTGTGGAGTCTTTTAGCTTGGAATAGATCCCTGTAACAATACATGTATATGTCGCAATTATCACTCTCTTAATTAGTAGCAGATAGCATCATCTAGACTGAGATCATAACTGCTCATCAGTCATTTTACTTTCGTAAACTTTAAAAATGTTTAGCATCTCAAGTCACTACAGGTCTGATTAACATACAATTACATGTAAGGTTATCTTTCCATCATTCCCTCCTGAACATAATTTTCAATACAAACTGTTCTTGTGCAGAGTATTGGAGAAGTTGGAAAAAAAAACTAACAAAGCTACAATCCATGTTCTGTTCCAAGGCCGTGTTTCAGGTGTACATGTACATGCACTTGGTGATATCTTTTGAGAAAGTAGGATAGGATAGGAAGCCTTTATTTCAACATGATGAGTTTTAAAGCTAAAAGCTTGTGGGGTCGTGTATAAAATGAGTGAGAATATTCAAGAATGTTGTGGTTCTGTCCTCGTATACCGCTACACAAGAACCGATACAAAAGACCCAACAATACACACCAGCTAATCTAAAGAGAAGCTCATAACGAAAGGTAGTACAATGGTCATTCCCTCAGTGTGCCGGACTACCGGTACACCAGGCCGGATTATGGATTTGTTCAAATGCGTGCACACGTGTTAGCAGACAAAGGCAACTTCAGGGTTTTTGCTGCTGTATCTGCCAAAATGGCACAATGCATCATTACCTTTCAAACTTGACTTCATTATTCAGCGAGAAAATGCACTCTTGGGACAACTAAAGTGTTTCCTACGTTCATATAAACTCCTATTTATGCACGGCCAGTTCGTCCGCCATAGTTAATCACGACCGAGGAATAGACTGGGTAGAGTTACATGGGTATGTACATGTGCTACCGCTGTTCACTGCTGTTTCCTCGCGGGCGATCGAGGTCACGCAAATGCTGAAAGGGTCTGGTCTCGGGTTTGGTAACAATTTGTAACAACACCCCACAACACGGAAGAGAGTCGGATGAGTGAACGAAACAGCCTCACACCATGTCAGGTTTTACTTATATCATTGTTATTGGCTTTGCAATTTTTGGCATTCATCATTGGTTAAAGAATAAACATTATCTTTTTGAGCCAGAGGATATTGCAAAGATAGCAAAGCGGCATGTGGGAAACGGTAAGTGTTTAGAATCAATGTATCACCCTTGTCACAAGCGTACTAAATTATGGCGCAGACAGAGACTGCAGACAACCTGTGGGCCTAAATAGCGCTCTGAGCAGCCTGAATATTACTCAGGGTAGCCTGAATAGCACTCAGATTAGTATTGTAGCTTGTTTACGGTTAGTTCTCGGTAAAGGATTTTATTTAAGTATGCATGCAGTCTGCAAAATGGTGATTTCTATAATCAATTATATTCTTCATAGACCAAAAGCAAAGCATAAATGCAAAGTATACAAAGATCGCATTGGAACTTGAACAGAAGTATCCAGGTCATATCCTGTCTGAGGGGGCTAGAGAATGGCTGTTCATGAATGCAGGTGGCTGGACAGGATCTGTTTACATATTACATGCATCTGTTACTGAATATGTACTGTTCTTTGGTACAGCAGTTGACACACAGGGATACTCAGGTATTATGTGTGATAAGATTATAATTTAAGGTGAATTTCAGCAAGCCCTGACATTTTCCTCTTGAAACTTTGAAACACTTTTTATACCTAATCATACCTGGTCAAGCCATGGTTCATATTGTGGCCAGACGTAGACTAGCCAAAATACCCACAGCAAGTCCAAATGAGCCTGATATGCTGCCAAAGTGTACCAAAAAGATACGATTAGGTATTTACCGTGCCCAAATTTGGCCAAGATAATCATAGCCAAAGCAGGTCAGTGACTTGATATCACAAGATACTAGGAGACATGGCTTCTGATTGGCTAATTGCAAATTTGGGTATAGAAGACAGAATAACCAACAGCGCTCCCTCCCTTCGTAGTTTTGGAGCACAGAGGGCCAGCCTTTGTTCTGGGACCCCTGTTATCAAGTGTGAAACCTAGGTCTATATCCTCATTTCCTCTCCTCTGCACCCCCACTCCCCTTTTGAGCATCTCCCTAGCTGCAGGTTCAGTTTTGAGCCCTGAAGGATCATCCTGAATCAAAGTGATTTAAAAAACTGGTATGAGACGGGCAAGAATAAATAAGTTGTAAATTTGATGACTTCGAACTATCTCAGAATTTTTAAAATCACTCTATTATCCTGTTTGATTTAATTGTAGCTAATGTGTGTTGTCAGAATTACTTAATTACTTTATGTTATTCGTTTTCCCAAAGTAAGTAAGTAACACCTGGTGTAAATAAGTAATGTACATTGTAGTATTGGAGTAGCCATACCAGAGTACTTTGTTATTGTAATTTGCAATTTGTAATACGTGTAATTTATTAAGACATGTTACTTTAAATGAAAAAAAAAAAAAGAAAAAAAAAAATCACTCTATATGGTGGTACAAGTCATTTCAAAAGAATTCTAGTGTAAAGGCAACCTCAGAGTCATTTTATATTCCAAGATAAGTTCAGAAAGAAGGAAGTAACCATACACAAACAAAAGCCAGAAAAATTGCTTTGGCTAAAATTTCTGGAAAATCCTTGTAATTTCCTTGATCATATGCATTGTGGCATTCCACAAAATCTCTCTCCCCACAGATGTTTTCTTGGCTTGACCCCACCCCCCACCCCTTCAGAAATTTCAGTTTAGTTTCACCCTTTCCTTTGCACTGTTTCGCTTCTTAGACCCCCCACCACTTCCCAATTACCTTCCTTGGGGGTGGGTATGGGTATTTTCTGGAACTGCACATTTTCCTCTCTTCAGCTACATTACTAGACAGAATGTTAATGAGGATTGCTTCTCCTAACGTAGGACGGTACTGGGCCAACGTTTCTGACACCATACTAACTGGATCATTTCGACGGTGGAAAGAGGGGACTCTCAAAAGTCATGTGTATTCCCCTGGAGACACTGTGTATCATAACTGGGGTGATGTAGCAGCAGTGCAATGGACTGCAGGAACATGGATGGTGGAATATGGCCGCGGTTTTGTCCCATCCACGCTTGGTTTTGCACTTTGTGATTCGATTTTTAGCTTAATGGATTTTGTACAGGTTTTCAAACTGATTAGAATGTACACAAGAGCCTTGATTCACGAGACTCTCTTTCAGATATTTGAGATCATTAAAATTTATTCACCTGCTATACCCAAATGATTTGCTAGGAAGACGTTCTGTACTTGGCTGGAATTGCAATGATTATTTATAGAAGTTCGTGAATGAAACAGCTGCTATGTGAAGCTGGAAAATTAGGTATAGTTACACATTAGTCAACTTCAGTGCACCTCAGTAACCATTCTTAAATAAACTGAAAGTTTATTTGTATGTTTTGTTGGTTTTATTAGTCGGGAACTTAGTGTTCACCTGTCAAGTCTTCACTAGGTTCGGCGTTTTGCGCGTTTTGCACTGTTTTTGGCTATTTCTTTCTTTCTGTTTTTTTTACAGCACGGCGGCTCTTTCAGCGCCTGTGTTTTCTTCATTCCCGTCTTCCCCTTCCTTGCTTACTTCGAGGGTTGTTGGGTCCCTACCTTTCGTCTTGTTTTAGTTTTTTCTTCTTCATCATCGTGAGATTTGATCTTCATTCAGGCTGGAACTCGAAAAATGAGTTCCTCTGAAAATCAGATATTGAAAATACGACCGGGTGAAAGAAACACACGGCGCGTTTGGTACCTAGCAAGTGCAAACACCTCCACTATCAACAAGGAATAAGAATTAGTAGATAACAGAGGATTGCTTAACTTTAACCCAAAGATACCAGTACACGTCAAAACAAGACTGACGCGTTGTACATAAACAAATGAAAAAGTTCTTATTAACCCCTTTGTTAAGCCTTTTCATATCCTAAAATTTGAGTAAACGTCCAGCTTCCTATTGTATACACCCAGTGTCATTGGCTAGTGAGGTCTCTATTTGCTTCCGCTTGGTTCTGAAGTGCTTGAACTACTGATTCCAGATACCAAAATAACCACTCTCTGACGGCTTAGTTTTAGCAGTACGCGCGCTCCTCGCCCCCAGGATTTCGCACGGCCATTTTATCTGGCAGGTTTCTTTTGCATAACGCACGACGGACTAAGCGAAAGAGGGACTACTCGTAGTCCACTATCCCGTATTAGGTTACGTTGATTCGTTGATTCGTTATTGACTCTCTGGCAACGAAGCAGGACTTATTGACTACGAGATGCCACGACGCGAACAAGCGAAATCTTATATTGATGCTCTTTCAACATGTGATAACAACGCTCCCGCAAATGAGCTTGGTAGCCCTCGGCGGGCACGCAGAAGATGAGATGACATGATCAAAGAAAAAAATGCCACAACCGTTAATTGATTGTTTGTTTTATTGATGATCAAAAACAGCTATTGACAAGTTCACTGAACTCGGCATGTGTACTTGCTGTCATGGGTACTTGTGTTTTTTACAGTGGTGTCTTTGTTTATGGTATCATGGTATATAATACGAGAGACACAAAATCCGCCCAGATGTATCTGCTGTATTATGCTTCTAGTGCAAAAACAGGACGAATAATCAGACGCAAAGTCCTCGGGTCATAGTCTAAGATGTACCAAAACAAGCTAGATAGTTCATTTTCACCAATTAAACTTCTGCAGGCAGACTTTACACTGATACGCATTTGAAACAATTCAGAATTTCTAAACGCAGAAGGATGTAAGCCATGGTCTGTTTTCAGTCGTCGTTCAAGACGTACTAAAGCAAATAGTTTGTCTCGTTTGTCTTCTGCTCTCGATCCGTTATACTGTGACTACAGGGATCTACAGTCAACTCTCGCCTTGCGGACACCCGCTATAAATCCCCGGCCGAAGCTATAAAGAAATGTATGGAAAAAACTCCCACTAATCACGTAAGGACTCCCTTATTTCGGATTGTTGTCGTTACAATGGACAACAACACGACGTATTGAATGAGTATCAATAAGTATAAAACTGCACGTTACTTGTGGCACTTTCCACCGCCAAAAATTAGGCCATTGTCATCAGACCCTGTTTTTACGTACCGTCTCTCTATTACGGACAACAAATTATGTTCTCGAGGGTGCTATCGGCCGCCTATAATGAGAGTTGATTGTTTACATATCTGAGAAGCATTACTGAAAAAAAATTGACCCAGCATCCTCCAAACGGAATATGCGTCTGTAATGTTTGAAAAACGACCATTCGATTTTGCGGTTGCATGTTGAATTTGCTTGCATATCTTTCCCTTTACAATACAAGACTCTTTAAACTGGGCGTTATTAATGCAATCTCTGAAAATCTTTACTGGAGAGAAGGCGTGGGTGCGGACTACTAAGATGTTTGGGTCGGAAACCGACATTATCAGAAACAAATTGCAAACGCAAAGCGCTAGCTATCTGTCGATTGACGTCAGTTCCAAAGGCCACACACAACACAAATATTTCACCAACAAAATAACTAAGCTGATACAAAAAATATTTATCAAAATACTTTGATCGAAGGTGCATCGAATAGTTCTATCAGGGAAACAGAGAAATGGAGTCTTACTTTGCGTGCCAGCGATTTATCGTACTTCTAGGCAAGATTATTATCAAGAAACTTCTGACCGACGTTTATCCTCTTAACGAAATGTTATAAATTAACTCCTTTTTCCAGGTCAAGGGTCGACTTTCACCGACACAGAATCTATCCTTTTCTAGTCTTGTGCCAAAACATGATGGTCTGGTCTCGAGGGAAATTTAGCGAGCGGTTCAGCCCATCTCTTTTATTTTTTTTTTTTTCTTTTGCAGCAAATCAATCCCATCGAGCAACCCGAGAAAAGTATGGATGCGTAGGTTGATACATGCACATATAGATTGAACATTTCCTCTTATCGCTCAGTTTAATACCAGATAAGCAATCGCATGTTCGATCTGAAAATCGCGTACCGAAGACAGATAACTGATTAACTCAGAACTGACGCAGAATCACGAAAATAGAAACGACGCGTAAACAATTCATGCGGGATGCGACGCGAAAAGATGAGGGCATTCATTGTTCATATTCAGAGAGGATAAAAGCAGAGGCCTAAAGGGCTAAGCTTTTATCTTGAAGAATCATCGAGCCGTACACTTGACGTGGAGGCCTTGGGGAAAAACTTCTTAATACTGAGATGGCTGCTAAAGTCTTCTTTCTCTTTGTCGCTGGGTTGGTTTTGTTCGAAGCTGAAGCTGCTTTGTACAGAAGAGAATTTTTTGACCCAGGAAGTCCATTTATGCGCGGTAAATAACATTCTTAGCATTAACACCATAATATACAACTAAATTTAACTAAGCCCAATAAAGAATCACTAAATGATATAGTTGCACGCAGGTATAATCGAGGATAGCTTTGCTATCTTCTTGTCGTGGCTGACTTCATATATAGCAACAAGTCTTTCAAGTCTTGGCTCAATTCCGCGCGGATAAAATTGTCATAGCTACTGAGTAAAATGCGCTTTACGCGTTACCGATTAATTCGTCCTACAGAATCAGTGCTTTGTTTATTAGCAGTTTATTCTGATATGATATTATTTCTGTTTCTTGCACAGACCTGATGGAGTATGATGATCCCATTTCACGTCGGGGTGGTAAGTTATCCTTTTAACTCATAAAAGTGACAGAAAATTACTCTATAACCAACATGCGTGGAAGAAGTCACTCACATTTGACTCGAACAGCTGTAGTCTTATTCTTGCACCAATCAACATGCAGGATCCCTTCTGCACTAGCCTCCTTTCTGATTGTTTTACAGAATAAGTCCCTAACTGAAAAACTTACAGTCATGTCCTAGTTTGAAGCTTATTTCATATTATGAACATTTTGCCCATCGTTTAGTGTCCTCGTTCTGCCACGTTTCCACTTGCGTTTCTATTGAACAATTAGATCATGAGCTCGACATTTCTTTGAGCTGATAGTTGATAAGGCCAAAGGCCGAATCAGCTATCAGGAGTGAACTATCGAATTCTAAATAGATTTCCTTCAAATAACGTTTTGTAATTATTTCTCTGCATATCAAATAGTAGTTCGGCTTAACTTTACAAATTTCGCAAAATCGCGCGCGGATTTCAGTGAATTTTTGTTTGAAACTTGCAGCTGTTTGCACGCGCTAATCACTTTTTTGAATAATCGTATATGTTCAGTTTTTAAAGTAGCTTAACGGTCGATCTCCAACGTTTAGTATTCCACGAATATTTCTATATTTTCCTCCGAAACGTCAGAAAAAAGCGAAAAACGCCGCTAACACCTGGGCCACCTGCACTGTACTAATTACAAAATAGTGGACGATAGTGCAGCCAACCAGATTGCGGCATTTTCCTTCAGTATACTTGTAGAATTCTTCTAATAAAATCGACAGAAGAAGAGTCACTATTTTCTGTTTCAGACACTACAGCTTATTTGACTCACAAATATGATCATAAAGCTAACCTCTGTTTCGGTCCTGCTTTGTTTTGTTACAGCAATGCCAGGTCAGGAAGACTGTCAAGACAAAACAGTGTCGTCCTTCTGTCTTGAGTGGGCAAGGATGGGATATTGCAGGAACCCACGCCTTTTTGCATCAACTAACAATTTTCGCACCTTCACCCAAGATTATTGCAGAATGACCTGTAACCGTTGTTAACACATGAGTACGAACTATTTGAGGTTTGTATTCTATCAATGATATGGTTTTGTAATTTTATCCAGAAGGGCTGGGACCTATGCCCCCACCGACTTTGCGTTTGTAACCTTTGCATTTGCCGTGATGTCATCTAACATTCGTCTACAGTTTTCACACATTTTGCCCCTCCCCACCCCAGTGCAATGTTGACAAAACACTTTGAGCGGACTCCATTTTGCAATTTGCCATTTTCCAACATTGAAAGGGGAAAAGGGGGGTTTGACAACATTTTACGAGGCTTGTGGAATAATAATTTGATGTGGCACGCCACAGAGCTTCATAGAGATTGATGTGTCCATGGCAAACATGTTTCAACAGAAACACTTAAAAAAAAAGAAAAATTCAACATTCATCGGTTTGAGAAGACCCCTCAAAAACCTGGTCTGAATAGGGTTAAGACGATTGAACCAATAAGTTGCGTTAATTGAGGTGTGTGTGTTGTCTGACTGTCTACGTGTCACGAAGTGGTGATGTTACTTCAAAGCAATCCTTGAGCTGTCTCGGTTCTATCAAGACTGCGTGTGACGCGCCGGTTAGGACCAGGTCGAGTTGTTTTATACTGTTTGCCGTTCTCCCTTTCCGTTTTTTCAATCCGTTATAGAAGAATTTTCCGTTGTAAACATTGTCAGGCGTGTAACAAATTCCTTAATTATGAACCATTAGCTTCTTCCTGTCCTTGCTCGAAGAATTAATGTGGGCCTTTGATCGTTTTACGGTACTCTTTTGTAAGATTATTGTTTTTCTTGCCGAGGCTGAATATTCTTATTTTTCTGTTGATTTTAGGCTGAAAATATATAATAAATATATAACTGTATCATATTTCAGCAAGTTTTCAACACAGAAAATTATATTGGTTTCAAAATCTCAGACTCCAGTTTAATCTTAAATATTCTTCAAATTTCATAAATGTCAACCTCGAAATTCTGGTAAAACACATTCTTACAAAAGGAAAGAGAGAACTGTCAAGCTCTCAGGAATTCTCGGGCAGATATTCTGCAAATGCAGATTGGTTCACTAGACACACTTACAACGTTTTCTTTTTCTTTTATTTGCAGGATTCCTTGGTTTTAATCGAGTGATATATTATTCAAAGATGAAATCACACAGTAACCAATGCTAACTGGAACAGTATGATTAACATTGTTTTAATCCATAATTGTGTAGCCTTTTTATATTGCTTGTTTAAAGAACTGGATTACGTTTTTCATTTACGAGGAAGACGTTTTATGGCAGAAAATGAGAAAAAAAAAAGAATCACCAGTATAGAGCGTAAGCATTTCAGCAATTAGCACTTTTACATATTAAATTTTCTAATCAAGATTTTTTCACAATAAAAGTACTCTTTCGAAAGGAATTTATGTGTCTGTTGTTGTAAAGTGGTCAAAGCCGTCGATGTTACAGTGAGGTAAAATACCTGCCCGATGTGAGGTGGGGTATTCCCTATAATGATCTACACAAGGATCGGAGGTTCCGCCCGAAAAGGGTACGTACCTTTTTCAGGCTTCAGATATGTAAAAGGGTAGGGATTTGATAAGTTGAGGTGTATGAAAGGGTAGGGGAATCTGTCATTAGAGTCCAACGTGAGCATGAACTGAATATAAATTACTTGTTTTTTTTGATTAACATCTCTTTTGGTTATGCTTGATTTTTTCCGGGAATTTTGTTTATTAACTTCATTCCAAGGCTTTCAGTAGAATAGGATGCAGTATACTTAAGAATGTATGCGAACGGAGTACCTTTTCTCGATAAAAGGTATACGAACGCTTAGTTCCTTACCCCCGAGTGGGGGATAGGGCCGGAGATCAATGCTCGCCATCTGTCCCTATTCTTAGCCACAGCTGCTGCTGCGGCCCACGATGTAAGTCCCAGCTCAGCGCGTTCCTTCTCCACTGTTCTCCGCCATGTTTCCCTTGGCCGTCCTCTACTTCTTTTTCCGCTTGGTGCCCAGGATAATGCCACGTGTGGGTTTCGGTTTGGTGCCATACGCAGAACATGACCTATCCACTTCCATCGCCTGCGTCGCACTTGTGTACTGATCTTTTCGATTCCTGCTCTTCTCCGAATTTCATCATCGGGCACACGCATGGGCCAATGGACTTTCAAGATTCTCCTTAGGCATTTGTGAAGAAAGGTGTCAAGGTATACGAAAGGGGTACTTTTTCTGTCAAAATGGTATAAAAAAACGTAAGGTTTGGACCTTGGGACGGAGCCTCCCCGTATAAAACTTTGTAAAGTACCCCTCGGAGGTTAAAATACCGCTTTTATGGGGGTCCAAACGGGTCTGACGGACCAATGTAAGGTAATTCAGCTCTAGGAATTCAGTTTAACATAAATGTTCATTTGATTTCCGCATCTTCTCGGCGTAAAAGACAATCTTAACAAATTGTTCTCCTTTGTCTCTGAGACCTTGATTTAATGGAAGTACTGATTATAACCCTTAAAGAGGGACGTTCGATCGTATTGTTGACAAGAGGAGCTGGTTTCTTAGTTAGTCTCTCAGCAGAGTCTAGCTTAGTTAGAGTCTCAGGCCTCGTACATACTACGCCGGAGAAATCTTTATACCTACGGTTACCGTCCACACTAATCCGTTAGGAGAACGAAGCTATTTGAAAAGGCTCGTCAAACCGGAGGAATCTGAAAACGTTGGCTCTGCGTCAGCGTGGACGGAAAGCATTTGGAAAACGGAGCTTTTCGAAAACAATGACGTAACGATGATCATGTAATTTTCCGTGGCCAAGTCTTAGCGTGCGTTCCTTTGGGTTGATCTGGATCAGGATCAGTGATCCAAGATCACTCGGATCATCCTACATCAAAAGAACCAATGAATCCGTGACCAGAGGGGATTCATCGGTCCCTTTGATGCCCCATGATCTGAGTGATCTTGGATCACTGATCAACCCAAAGGAACGCACCCTTAGAATTTCAAAAACAATTTATGTTAACGGCAAAGAAACAAGCAAACGCGTCAAAAAAATTAAAATTGTTATGTTCTCTAGTCTTGGTCCACAGGGAGCCCATACAATCGGCTTGTCTGTTTGTATGTTCGAAATACAAAGAAATGCCGGAGTTCGACACCAGCTGACACCGATCGAGCTGCGCAGAGTTTGATTTTGACCTTCATAGGGTGATTCTGAATAGCGTAGACGATATTTTCGAGTTCTAAGGACTTGAAACTAAATTGCAAAAACCTTGTTCTTAAGTTAAGTCGACAGGCTGAAGATTATTGCACGCTTTGGTTATGTGCATAGTCTAAAAAATATAGCACGTTTTAGATCGACTTAGAGGGGTTCCGCACTAGCTCATACCGAGCTGCGCAAACTTTGATTTTGACCTACATAGGCTCGACTCCGAAAAGTGTAGACGATGTTTTCGATTTTTAGGGACTTGAAGCTAAATTGCGAAGACCTTGTCCTTAAGTTAAATCGACAGGGTAAAGATTTTCGCAGGCGTTGGCTATATGTGCATCATAGTAAGTAAAATGTGGGCCGTTTTAGCCTCAGAGGGTCTCGACACCAGCTAATACCGAGCTGAGTAAACTTTGATTTTGACCTACATAGGCTTGATCCGGAAATAACCTAGCCCATAGTTTCGATTTCTAGGGACTTGAAACTTAACTGCATGGACCTTGTCCTTAACGTAAATCGACAGGGCAACGAATATCGCTCGCGTTTGGTAAGTGCCTAGTGAGTAAAATATAGGTCGTTTTAGACTTAGAGGGGCTCGGCATTAACCGACACCGAGCTGCCCAAACTTTAATATTTTGAGCTAGATAGACTAAATTCTGAAAAGTGTAAACGATATTTTCGAGTTCTAGGGACTTGAAACTAAATTGCAAAGACCTTTTCTGTAAGTTAAATGGACAGGCTAAAGATGATCGCACGCGCTGGTTATGTGTATAGTCAATAAAGTATTGGTCGTTTTGGACTTAGAGGGGCCCGACACTAGCTGATACCGAGCTACGCAAACTTTGATTTTAACCTACACAGGATTGATTCCGAGTGGCATAGACGCCGATATTTCCGAGTTCAAGGGACTTCAAAAACTCTAAAAAAAAAAAACTCAGACAAAACCTCTTTAATTGGTAATGTGTATTCGTCCCACTGATGTCAATGTTAGTGTTCGATCGGTTACGTTACTGCGCATCAGAAATAAGTTCATGCCTATAGGCCAATAAATAAATTGGCCACTGATTACGGCTTCCAGATAAATGGACTGATTTAGATAAGCTCAGCTTTATTCCGAAATGTACACAAAGAAAATCAACTAGATATAAGTTGTTAAATTCAGTCTGTGTTTGTCGCACTGAGAGTCATGATCACTCAGGAGGAAGAGGGCGTGGTAAGGAGAATTGGATGGTACGAAGAGTGTGAA